TATAAGTCCCACATAAATGTTTTCCTCTACAAAAAAGAACATGAGAAGAGAATCAAACGGTAAATAGAAAGTGTCTGCTGCCCTTGAATGGGCTGTCATGGAACCTGCACCCAGCTCCTAGTGCCTGGGGCTCAAGCAAACCCTCAGCCTGGCCCTTTACATATTGGGCAGCCCATTCAGGAGGGCGCTCTGGGTCCTCATGGCAGAGAACAACATCCGTGCTCACCATAATTAATGAACACAAGCTCAAGGGGCTCAATGATGGCAGGGGGTGTTCAAACAAAGCAGGACTTGTCTCTCTCTGTACCTGAGAGAATGCACAAGGGAAAACACAAGAATATTATTCTACTTGGGCTTCTTCCTCTAAAGAGCTCTCTGACCTAAACAGAACACAAAGCACCCAGGCAAAACTGAGAGCTTGAGGTCCACCTTGAAGAACAAACAGGCCAAGATGCACGCTGCATCCCCCGTTACAAGATGCTAGAGGAGCACATACTCACAGGCAGGTATGGGAACACACGTACACTCCTCCAGACTGCAGCACATCCTTTCTTGCTAACTTTCCAGATACAAATACATGGACATAGCCACTTATACTGAAATACATGCTAACTTATGTACATATACCGCTGTATGTGTACATACATACCGATACACCTGTAAAATAAGAATATAGTCACCTATATGAATGTGAAATGGCAATATAAGCACACTTCTTAATATACACATATTTCATGTATGGGTATGTAAATATAGCAAGGGAGGCAGAGTTATATGCATATTATATATGTGCACATACATATCTATATGTGTACATATATGTGAAAAAGCCATACTAAAAAGTATAATCATGCCTATATAGAAATAAAGAGAGTAAGGGAGGCAAGAGACAGAGAATAGGTATGTACCTATTTACAACTCAACTTAGTTTTATTCAATTCAACTAACATTAAAAGTCTCTGCCATGCAGCAGCTCTTTGCTAGGCACCAGTGCACAAAGCTGGATGAGCATCACCAGCCTTGAAGAGTGCACTGTGTGGAAGGGATACTGGGTGAAAACTGCAATGGCTTAGCAGCCCTACCTTGCAATGGCTTAGCCCTACCTTTGCAATGGCTTAGCAGCCCTACCTTGAGGATGGCCAATAACACACCTGAGCCATGCTAGCTGAGTTCAGGTCCAGCTCCACCACTTGGAAGCTGTGACAGCAAATTTGCAAGTAAACTGCAGGATCTTCATCACGGAACTAAATGTCTATGACAGTCTTCTTCATAGGGTGGCGTGTTTAAATGATATAACAAGTGAAAGCCTTTATACTCCCCAGCACCCAGAGAACACTCAATAAAAGGAAGCTGTCATCACTATAAATGTTACTGTTGTTATTGTGATAGAGAATATAAGGCTCTTTAGGGGACACAAAAGACAGAAAGGTCCATCTGCCTTGGAATGTATCAAGAGCAGCTTTGTGGAGGCGGTGGTGCTGAGTTCAGTCTTTCTAAGAAACAAGGGTTTGTCAGAACAAACAGGAGAAAGGGAAATCATTCCAAGGGTGAGAAAGAGTTTTGAGCTAAGTATGGTGGTGCATACCGGAGTAGCAGCAGCTACTCAGGAGGCTGAGGCAGGAGAACTGCTTGAACCCAGGAATTCAAGACCAACCTGAGTAACACAGCCAGACCTCATCTCTACATAATTAGTCAATTAAAAGAAAGTTTGTTCAAAAGCCCTAAGGCACAAAATTTTCTAGCATGTCCAGAGAACTTGCAGCAGATCGGTATAACCAGAGTAGGGGTTCAAGGTCCAAGAGAAGCCAGAGCCTAAAGTGGAAGAGGCACTAAAAATCACTCAACAATGGAACCACAAAATCAGGTTTGGCTTTCAGAAGATTTAGGTAAAATTAACTGAAACAATTTTATTTTTCCAGGGTCACCATTGCGGTGATCGGTCGTCACAAACGCCACTGCCACAAAACAGAGGACCATGGTCATTCACAGGGTCTCTCCTCTGCCCCCAAGTCTTCAAAAGCTTTTTGTTTGTTTTAGTTTTCCTAACTAATTGGTTTATTTTTCCATGCTGATTTGCATCCTCCAGAAGGTTTTCTTCACCACTAATCCCTTCCAGAATGATTTTTAAATACTCATCTTCCAAACCACAAGGAGAATCTTAAGTGGCCACTTTTTAGCACTTGTAAAAGCCACACAACAATCATCCGCCCTCAAAGCACACAGATAGCAACTGCAGCTTTGCAGGTCAGGACTGAGTGGGAGGTGGGTGTGGGGAGCAGAGCCAAGATAGGGTTTAGAACTGTTCCTGGGAGCGAATTAACACCCAGGATAAAAGCAGTATGAGTAAACAACAGCCCATACGGAGCAAGAGAGACAAAGAGGGCCACCAGAAAGGAGAAAAACGAACGTGCATTGACCATGCGTTATGGTATAAAAGGGCATACAAAAACAAATTAGGGAAAAAATTCAGCAGGCGCTTGGGCCCAATGTTGTCTTAAATTCAAGGGGGGAAAAAGCTTCCCTTTTAATGGAATCTGTCCTTTTATGGACTCTTTCAAGGTAAGTTAGTGACCAAGGTGGTTTCTGGGGGGAGAAGTCTGAGGCAGTCAACAGAACTGTTGGAATACATCCAGATCAATCTGTTTACTCATCAGCCGACGAGCCAATTCTATTAATTCTCTTTGTTCACTATGTCTCGAGTACCCAGCATACCAGGCTCTGGAGATGCAGAGCTGAATTAGCCTCTGCTTTCTGTCTTCACTGGGTAACTCAACTGCTAGCAGACTGAGAAAACAATGATGTCACAGAACCAGGTGTGGTCTCCAACCAGCAAGGACTCGTGAGGGCAGGGAGAGAGCTCACTGCTATCAGGCACCTGATATGTGCCAGCTACTGCCCGAGGTGTGCCTTAGATATGCTGTCTCATTTAATCTCTCTAACACTCCTTTGATAAAATCAGCAGGCAGGAACAATCTACTTCTCTGCTCCCAATTTTCACTGCCCCGTCTCAGAGAAAACAGTAGCAGTAGGTGGGAAAGGTATCTTTAGACAAGGAAAGAAAGCTGAAAACTCCAAAGTTTCAAACACCTTCACTTTAGACACTCTCCTCCTTCCCAGAGGTGTCTTTGGATCTGGCTTCAGATTTTCTTAAGACAAACACTGCTCTCTCTGTTCCCTTTTCCTTTAGTTTAACACAGTAATGCTCCCAAATGCCCATGTATTAATCCTACCATTGCCCATTTTATAAACCTGTTAACACACTCTGTGTGTGTGTGTGTGTTCAAATGCCGTATATTCAATTCAGGCCCAAATAAGGAGCCCAGTCATCCCTGCAGGTCCCACTCGTGAATCAAATCCAAGTTCTGGACACCAATGTTCTACCATGTTCTGTAACTGCTGCAGGACCACATTCTTTTATTGCAGTTGTTATATCCTGGGTGTGCCGAGCACCAGTGGCATTTTGCTCATTTTAAATTGTTACAAAAGCAAAACAAAACAAAAACCAGGATAGTCATATCAGCCCATAATCTGGGACACCAAATTTATACCAAATTTATACTGAGAAATTCAAAGGATGATTCAAGAACAGTTAAAGCTAACATGAAAAAAAACAGCATCTCTATCAATCACTCTTTGTCTCCCAGACAATGGTTTTACTCCTGCAAAGTTAAATCAAACAATAGATTATTTCCTGAGCACCTACTATGTGACAAGTACTACACAGCCCATTGGACCGATAGGACTCTTTTCACTGTCTCTTCTTTCAGATATTTAAAGTATTGATAGGATGCCTTAGCTGTTTACTCTTTGAGCAGTTATTATTAGCAATGTCTTCAGAAGTTTAACGTTTTGATGGCTACTGCAAGCTTTCTGGAAGTTTATTATGTTGTTTTGTTTTGTTACCTCTATTGTTTACTATCTAAATCATTCCTTTTCTTTTCCTACTCTCGAATTTTTAGAGAGAGGAAAAAAAAACCTAGCATCTGGGGTCTGAAGCCACTTGAAGTGTCTGGGCTGGGACTGCTAATGACCTCCCAGAGATAACCCAAATTGCTGATTTAGCAAAGCCCATTCTTGACCTTGACACAAGACAAGACAGGCAAAGGGGAAGGACTCGGGAGGGCTTAGTGAAAGAAAAAGGATCGTAGAAGCGCTTAGATCTCGCCAAGCCCCCTCCCCCATTCAGCAAACACCTGGCTGAGTTGGAAAACATGACCGGTCCAACCTTCCTATTGGCACCAATTGAAGCTGTCAGCTCTTGCTTGTCACTGGTTGCACTGGGAGGCCCCGGACAGCTACAAGAGCCCTAATTAGGCAGAAATGACACTTCTACAAGTGACCTGCCAGGACCTTTGGCAAACCATTTAACATCATTAGTTAACATTTTTTAAAAAGTGTGAATGTAAATGAACAGCCCGTGGCTTTCAATGGAGTTTGTCGGTGGCATCTCCCCCCTCCCTCCTTACTCTTTCTCTTCCTACATGAATAGTTCGCTTGTTTTCCTAGAATTGGAGGGAGGCACTGAGGAAGAAGGAGGAAGAGAACCAGTTCTCTGAGGGGAGAGACACGTTAAGGCATAAACATGCTCAGAACTGCAGAGAGACGGCCTCTTTCTGCCTTTGTATGGGCCCAAACAGACATACTCTCCTAGGGCCACCAGAACAGAACGGGGAGACGGTGTGAGCCCCTCAGGCTACACAGATGCCAGGTCCTGCTCCCTGAGCTGCACTGCTAAACGTGGCTGCCCAGGATGCCAGGATCTCGCTCATCTCCTGACTTATGACTATCTCTAAGAAGTATCTCTTTCAAACCTCTCCCCACTTGCTGGCATTCTGAAGAAGCAAGCTGCGCCCCAGCCGCTGAGCAAAATGTCTTATACAAGCATACATTTCAAGGTGTCACAGCGAAACGTACCTAGCCCCTCTAAACAGGACTGAAGTTTGAGGGGTCATTATTTCAGACACTAGTTGGATACTTACACAAATCAGTTCATTTCCTACCTGCAGCGGATATTTCCCACTTTGAATCACACTTCAGTTTGTTCTTTGCTTTACACCCACAGAATCCGTACACGCCAACACTCTCCATCTGTAGGAGGGGGAAAAGAGTTTCACTGTGAACAACTCGCTTTATCTGTTTCTGCACTGCTCTTAAGTTGCACACTCTTGCTGGCTGACAGTCTGAAGAGGAAGCCCAGGGCAGAAGAGAGGCAAAGTCGAGGGGGCAGGAAGCACACAGGAGCTGGGTTCCTGGGGGCTTTTGCACTTACCACCTACTTGTTGTGTGGCCTTGGGCAAGGTGCTTAGCCCTGAGTCTCAGATGTGTTCATCTGTAAGACAGAGATAATGCCTTACTCCATTAAGAAGTAGATGGAAATACCATGAAAACTAGGAAGTGTGGTATAAATGTGAGGCATGAGAGACAGGTAAGAGCTGCCCTAACCAAGGAGCCATACCAGGTTCTTGTAGCTCATTTATCATGGAGAGATGACATTGAGTTTGTCCTCTTGCTTCCAAAGGCATACTGGACAAAGCCACCCCGCCCCTCCCAGGTCCCTCTTTATTCATTTTCTCCACTCTGCTTATTCTCAAAAGGGCTGTAAATAGTACAGCATGAGTGCAAAACAAATTCTTTAAACTTCTGGTTATGTTAGCTATTTAGCCCCTCTGCTGGGCCCTAAATAGTATGGGGTAAAACAGGTCTTGTCTACCTCTGGATTTCCACAAGTCCTACAATCCGTGATGAGCACACAGCAGACGCACGATAAATGTTTGCTAAGTTGCAATGCAAGAACATAGCTTCCAGAAGTGTGCTTCAAGCAGTGGGGATGTGCTTCATCAAGGTGGTACAGATCCTAAATCTGGAGAGCTTTACTTGTGTCTGAATTAAAGACAAATAAAATCAAGCTGGCTGTGCGTGGTGGGAAACGCCTGTAACTAACTGTGAGAGGGAAGCAAAAGAAAACAATCTTAGTTTGGGGCAGAGAAAGAGGGAAAATACTGCCAAATGTCCTTAATAACACTAAATGGAGAAAGGGAAAACTGCTCATCACGATGGAGCATTTAGTGCTTTTAAGCTAAATACCTCAGCATATTAAGCAAATAGAGAAAAGCCAGCTAGAAGATGTCATCAAATTGAACCACACAGTGCTCAGAAAGCCTATAGGAGGTGTCTGGTTTGACCCCTTTTCCCATCACATGCCTGGTCCCAGCCTGGTTGTTTAGTATTGCAGCTCCTCTCCAGCTGTGGAGCTTATTGAAAAGCTCTCGCTCCCTGCCTGGTTTTGGCACATTTTCTGCAGGTGCCTCCTACTGTGGCCACAATGGGCTGCTCCGGAGGTTTAGACCTGTCAACAGCTACAGGAGAGGGAGGGGCAACAGTGGAGGGAGCACAGTCATTGTCTTAAAGGGCCAGTGACATTGTGTGCCACCACCGCAGAGGCGGCAGCACTGGCACCTGCTAATGAGATGAACCCTTTCTCCCGCTCTCTCTTTCTCTCTTTAACGATTTAACTTGATCGCTGTGGTTCCTTTCTAGAAGAAGAATTGCTCCACTGATCATATAAAGTAATTGCCTGGCAAACATTGCTCTGCAGCAACTACTACTACTTCCCTGGCTGAAAATGTCACAGCAATTGAAAAGCTCTTAGTTCAGTTCAAGAACGAGGCTGCTACAGAGAACAGTCCCTGCATACAGTCCCAAGTATTCCTGTGTTCCTTGAGTTACAAGTTAGGGTGTGACTGATGGGCCTTTAAGACAGAATTTCCCTTTTGTGGTATGGTATGATTTTTGCACGAGATTGTGGGAAACTAACCAGGCACCTTTAGAAATAAAACCCAAAACCTTCCTCTACTCTAAAATTAGATATATTCATTCAGAGAAAGAAAACATTTTTTTAATCACTTAGGTCATTCTTTGCTCAGAAGCCATGAGCTCAGAAAGACACCCACACCTAAGCACGGTGATTCAGAGAAAGAGAGGGAGACAATATCCTGGTCTAGGAGGTTGCGGGGGCTTAGTTTAAGAAAGAGGAATTGATGCTCTAATTGTTCAGGGTTTGCTGATATTTCAGACCTGTCACTTGGCGGCAGCACTATCACACTGTGGGGACAGGGACCACACACTTGAGGAGTTTTCATCAACAGCTTTATTAAGTAGTCACTGCCACACCGATGCTGGGGGAGTAATTCACTTGGGGGAAATCACTTTGTCATAGGCATGAACCTGCCAGTGAAATAAACATGAAACCTGTTAGTGAGGGTTTCATTTTGCTCTGACAGGTGAAAAGTCTAAGTTTGTATCTAAATACGAGACAGGCTTTCTCAATGAAATTGGTGAGAAGCACCCCTTGCCGTGTGTCACACTGCTGGTTACCAATTGGGGAAGAAGGTTTGGGTTAATCACTTCATCAGGATGAGCTGTGGATTTTTTTTAATTTTTTGCGGGGGGAGCTGATGAACTAAGGGCTGTAGATGTGCCTATTACTGTACTTTTTTTTTTTTTTTAAGGCAAAAACCTATGCCTGCTTACTGAAAAGAGTACTGAGTGCTAAGCTATAAAAAGACTAACTGCAATTATAAATCTGAAAAAGTTATAGGACCTTTCACATGGAAGCCTTGTGAAAGGTCATGGGACAAGTTCCTTAACTGCACTGTAGTTTTTTTCTCTTAAAATTTAGGAACTTGGGATTATAGATTTTAAAATCTTTTGATATTGTCAGAATATACTGACTATTCAGTTAGGGCAATTCCACACACTACATCAGAATACACAGTATATATTTAAAAAATACTTTTCCTTTATGTACTTATATAGTGAAGAGAAAGGGGAAAAAAGAAATTCTTTAAATTTAAGCCCATTAAGTAAACTGACTCTTAGAGACAAAGAATTTTATGTTGAAAGCCTCTAACCAGAAACTTGCATTTTCTTTTTGTTTATATTGGAAACTTGTTATTTTTGTCTATAAGTGAGGTAATTAGACGTGTGATTCAATAACACAGAACTAGATAAAATATGGAATTAAATGACCCCCAAAGTTCTGCCTGGCTCTGGATCCCTTATTTTAAAACAAAGATTCATATGATGGGAAATAGATCAATGAATGATACAACTGCACAACTAGTTATTTCTAGCAGCTGCTCCTATAAGATAGGCAGGCAAGACAGGAAAGTGGGTTAAGCGCCTGCAGCCAAGAATAGGAGAGGCTGGACTACTGGGATAGAAATGGAACCCCTATTGGTAAAGAACAGCTCAGGAAGCTGAACTCACAGGGAAGGCTACCGGCCCCAGGCTACATGTCCTGTTACGAACACCCACCGTGAGAGTATGCCTAGGCTATCTGAACACTGTTTCCCTGTATTTCTGGAAAAGAGAGAAAGGAAAATTGGAAGAGAAAAATAATCTAAATAAGCCCCTAGGCAGAGGAATGCATGTCAAAACTGCCCATAGGCACAGCACTGGCTTTGCTTTTGCATCCTCCTCTGCTTCATTCATACTTGATGCAAGAGGTCTGACTAGAATTCCAAAGCTCACAGAACACAGAGTCGTGCTTTACAATTCACACATCATGGGAATCTCCCTAGCACATTTTAAAGCACCTGACTTCACAAGGTATAAATTAGCCTTTAGCTCGTAAGTTTGAACTTCATTATAAACAGGATTTGCAAAGTGGTTGGGCTTGTGCTTAAAAAGAAAAGAATGCATTTTAAAATGTTGCTTTATGCCTATGGTAATGCGCACCTAACCAAGTAAATGTACACAGAATGATGGGAGTTTTATTCCAGGGATAATGTTATTGGTCTGGGTGGTAATTGCTAATCTTCTTCATAATTCAGATCTGTAAATTTACTTAGGTGGTGAGACCCAGATACTTCAACCTGAGCATTTTATTTACCTAGTAAATCCTTGTGCTTATATTTGTTGCTGACACGTACCTCATCCACTAAAATTTAACACACAGAAATGTTAATATCCTTTATACGTTGATAAAAAGCGACCATCATATTGATGGGTCATAGTACCTGTTGAAATGTCTGTATGTAATATATAAGGTGCACATATATTCCAGGTAGAAAATTATGTCAATCTGAACTTCTCATTATGGTTCCTGAATCAACATAAAATCATGGGGTAAGGTAAGGGAAGAAAAACAATTTACTATTTTATGTCTTTGCAGAATGCATGAGGTTCACATTTCGACCACAGTGTTTATGATGAAGTCAGACATTCCTGAAGTTACATGAGCACAGGCTTCACTCTCTCCTCCGTGAGAAGGCTTGCTCTACTTTTTTTGTTTTCTAGGATTCCACCTGCAGTTTCCTTTCTTTCAAATGTCAGAAATCACTGAGTAGCCCAAGGTATTTTCCATCTTGCTATTTTTCTTGATTTGATGTAGATCACAGTCCTTTCTTCCAATCAGATCCTTTCAGAGCTACACCTTATTTTAAAATATCCAATAGAAATGGATGGAGTTTGGTAATCAGCATGCCCTAGGACTAGTTACAGATTTTACTGTAAACAAAACTTAAAATTTTACCTACACATTTTGTAAAAAAGATGGCTGAGACAGAAAAGCATGACGTGTATAATCCTCAAGTCTAAATTTAAAGAGCAAGGCCAATCTATCATAAATGTAAACACAACAGGGGCCAATCAGGAGGTGACAGCTGAGCCTTAAACCAGGGGTACAGGCACGTGTGGGATAGATCGGATCCACCAGCCAGGGTCTCGTTTATGCCAAGAAGGATAGTGGGTTTTTTTTTCTCCTCGGCATTAAGGCTCGAAAAAGTGTGAGCTGTCTGTGAGTCAAACCTAGACAGCATATGTAGGGAAAGGGAAGGGGCATAGGCACACACACATAAACATACATACACAGCTAGTCTTTTTGTTCACACATAACAAGCATGTGGAGATAGTCTACTGCGAATATAAATCACAGGCTCTCGTAATTTTCAGTTGATTTTGATTACATCTCCTACTTTTGCAGATTTATAATTATCTCCCCCAAAAGGCAACTAAGTTTCCAATATTAGGTTTATCAGCAGTATGTAAAAAATTAATTGAATAGATATTTTTCTTGCAAAGGTCTT